GATCTTTTTCTTATATTAATTTGCATTTGTGTAACAGGGTTGCCAGTAATACAAAATTATCATTATTTATGTTAATTATTTATTTATTATTTTATGTAACTGAAAGTGCATTGTTACCCAACAGATACAATGGCTAATCAACCATTAAATAGTAAAGCCTTAGAGAAGTTTCTTCCAACATTTACTAGGAAAGTGTCTCGAGCTGAATGGATTTATATTTAGGCTAAAGGACAGCTATAACACACGACACGAAACAGATAGAAACTACTTTATCAAATATGTGATTGAGTGCCAACTGCAGCAGAGAGTTAGTCCCATTGATTTTCCGCAATCTATTAAAGAGTTAATTGACAGTCTTAAAAAAAATTTTGTATCAGAAGACACAGGCCCTAAACTCTTACTAAAGTTAAGAGACATAAAGCAAGGATATTTAAGCATAAAAGACTATAGTGGTAAAATGTCTGACATTTTATTAAACCTAAATGTTTCATTATTAAAGAAAAAGTTTGACAAATGCTCACCAAAAGAAATAACAATTGTTCAGTGTAATGATGAGAATGCGTTATTAGCATACAAAAAGGGACTAAAGAGTTTGTATTTACAAACTGTGCAAGTTGCACAACCAAAAAGCTTTAATAAAGCGAAGCTAATATGGATATATCATCTCAGAAACAACAATTATTAGTATAATTTTACATATCATAGAAACAGAAATCCTACTTACCGATACAACCGTAATAATAATTCAAATAGAAGGAATCACAACATAAACAGTAATCGATACAATAGAAATAATGAACATAATAGATACTCATTAAATGTTAACAACAACCACACATATTCAAATAGGAATGGAAATCAAAAATAGTAAAATACTAGAAATCAGAGCAATTATAATGCCAACAATAACCGTAATAACAACAGCCGGTACAACAATAGAAGCGCATCAAGTAATCGTAATACAGCAAGTAGACTTGTGCGTATAACCAACGCGCAGGAAAACTACGAATAACGAAAGGTATTCGTAGTTCGAAATTAAATACTGTAAAAATTTTGAATCAAACTTTGTCTAACAATATTTCAATTTTCTGATCCGAGTTAAACACTACAATAAGAAAGTTAATAAATAAGAAACCTTAACGTGGACTATAACTCTTACAATACATACAAAGTTACAGGTGTAACGGGTGAACATGTACTATTCCTATGAAAATCTAAATTACCTTAACTTTTCGAAGTAATACGGATAACTTAAACATTCGTAGTAGTAACAGAGGACATTCTAATCAAGGTAGACAGTGGAAAGGTATTTTCTAACAACTTGTGTAGAAGTCATTGATTCTTGTTCTTTCACTTTGCCCACACAATCAGGCAATAAACAAACAGAACTCTGCACATAGGAACATCGAAAGGAATGAAAAGGCTGACAATTTAGCCCGTTTTGGTGATTCCTGTCTGGTGCCGAAAGACCTTAGTCTAGCCCATAAACCATTAAATTACACTGTTGCTGTAATGGTTACTTCATTAGGCAAAGCAAAATGTTAACATTTTTTCAAAGAAAACATGTATATAATATTAAAGCAAACCCATACATGGAAAAGCGTTGCACCAAAGACTTAACATAATTTACTTTGCACTTTGCAAATAAAAATTTTACTGCAAAGTCTTTGCATAAAATGCAAAGCAAAGCGTTGCACCAAAAAATTAGATCACTTTCATTTTGTATTGGTTTTTGAAAGCATTTCGATTCTGTATGTATACTTGTTTTTTGTTTGTTTCATATTTTGATGCTATGAGTACATGATTTATGCATAGTATGTACTTATGAGTTTAATTTTTGTTTAAAATAATATTTTATTTTAATAATTTATATTATTACAATTTGTAATATTTGTATAATTTTAGTACAATTATATGTTATATATTAATACAAAATACAACATTTTTGTATATGATTTCTTTTATTGACATTGAATCGTAGATAAAGAAGTTGTGTATATCCATATATATTGTGTATATCCATTAAAAGCATTTTTATGCTTTTAATTTTTTTTGCAGTTTGAAAAGTTATAAAAAAAGAATTTAAATGTAAAGAGTATGAGTATAAGTTGTTTTAACAACAATTATATTGAAAAACAAAGTTAACAAATATAATAAGTTGCTTTTATATAAAAATTTAGTTGAAAATCTGTCATTATTATTTAATTTTAAAATATAAGTTATTAAAGTATTGTTTACTTGTCGCTGTGTATTATCCTAATACAAAAGAAACCTACGCATAAAGGGACTAAATTACTGATTTTATTTAGAACATTTCTCTCAATTTATCCAAAATTACCTTATAACTAACTTAACTAATTTTATTAATTTTAGTGGACTGTATTATTTTTAATTACATTTCAAACAAGGTTCAAAAAACGACGGAAGTCCAGGCACTTGTGATTTTTTCTTCTATTGTCTTTAGAAATATATTTTTATTATCATAATTAGATACGGATAATTAGATATTTAAAAATGTTACAATGTTAGCTATTATAGGATATTTTTTACCCATGTTTTTCCTTAGTTCATAATTCGGAGAATTTGAACGATAACAGACTTATAATAATAATAAACCGATCATTATAATAAATAAGTGTTCATCTTAAACAATAATTCACATAAAATATTTATATTAAATGTATTATAAAGTTTTTTTAGAAACTGAACTCTTTAATTCACAATTTCAAAGTATTGTCCGGTAATATATCCCTTTAATTATTGCAAATAAATTTATTTCAAAAACAGCAATAATATTTGCTTAAACTAATTTTCTATTTCTATTTTTTTAAAACTATTTTTATTTATTTATTAATGATTTCTTTCATTTTACGCATTGAAAGAAATCACTTTGCAAAATTTGCAAAGTGAATTAATCATTTGCAGTTTTTTTGAAAAGTTTTGCAGTTTACTTTTGCAAAGCGCAAAGTAAAAAGTGTTGGTGCAACAGAAACTGCAAAGAAACCAGTTTTTTGTCATATATTTCAATTTTCTTTTCATACTTTACTTTTCATTGAAAAGTACTTTGGTGCAACCAAAGAGTGTATATACTCTTTGGTGCAACGCTTTGCATTTTTTGAGTGTTTTCAAAACTTTGCATAACTCAATTCTCAAATTAATGCTTTATGTTCTCAATGAGAGAAAAATGCGCAAAAACTCATAAAAATTTGCAAAGTGAAAAGTGAAAAGTGTTGGTGCAACAGGGCCATGGTCCATGCGTTTGGCGGTAGTCAGAGAAGAAAAGTTATTTGGTGCTGAGTGGACCGACAAATACCATCAACACTTCTTCTATTCTTCATTCTTATTGCACTCTTACTAAATGATTCTATATGCAAGATTTGATTAGAATTCTTTTATTATTATTGGTTTAAATTGTTATATCAAACCTTTAACACGCACATAAACGTGTTGCATGATATATTTAAATATTTATTCAAAACTGCCGAGCACTTAAACTCGTAGTTTTACTATTGTTTAATATTGTTTTTAATTAAAAAAGCGCACTTGTTCTGATTTTGTTTTCATTTATTTCCTTGTGTATAATTTCGTATGTTCTAGTACAATATTGATACTGTCTTAATTTGTGTTACTGCACACGTTGTTATACTCCTGTCTCCAAAACGAAAAAGAAAGTTCTAATATTTTTCTAACAATAAAAACCCAAAACGGAAGCTGCTCTTATGTCCCTAGTCTAGCTTACAGCTTACTTCATTCTCCTTTTGTTGCCAAACAGCTGATTATTAGTGTCAACTTTGACACCGTTAAGTTGATGAAGCATTTAAAATTAAACCAAGCCTTACGTTAAGGAGATGTAACAAAAATAATAACTAAAAATTTTATTTAGTTTGTTTTTTAACTTTATTCATTTAAAAATTAAACATACAAAAAATGCAGATTTTATATTATTTCATAAAATATACAAAATATTTGACTCAAACGAGGTTTTGACAAATTCTTATACAATATTTATATTAATATTTGCTGCAAATAAATAAAAATATGAAATAAGGACTGATGTTCAACTGATTGCAATAATTTTGTATATGTATTATAACAGAACTAACATCAACAATACTGAGTCAGTATTGTTGATCAAATATTGTTGTTCAAATGCAGGTTTTTCAAATTATTTTTATGACATACTACCAAATAAGATTAAACATATACATACATATATACTACCTCATATGAATGAAATTTTGCATGAAAGTCGACAAAAATCCGATTATGTACGAAAAAAACACGAGCAAGTTTAAGGAAAAATCAAAGTTTTAGATTTCCATCAAATCTTTCTGTCAAAATTCAAATGCTGTTATTACACATCAAATTTGGCACAAATTTCGCATTTCACAAAAAAGTTTAACAGAAAAATTTTCATGTGTAAGCGTGTATTACTATAGTCTACTATAGTAGACTATTTATTAAAGTTTAATAATATATTAGCAAACACTACTTTAAACAGGGATTTTAAAACTTAACATTTTTTTTAGTTTAATAACAATATTATAAATGTTTCATTATCAATTAACCATAATTCTAATTATCAACTTTTTAAAGGTGTGGGATATAATTATCACAATAATTATCATATCGGAATCGACATATCCCAACGTTTTCGAAGCTGAAAATTGAAAATAACAATGCTAAGTTTACACCACAAAACAAAAACTTCTTGTCTCTATATTTTAAAGTTATCTTAAAATCTAAGTATTTCATATATATAAACACGTAATACAAACTGATCACATTATTGCCGAACTCATTTTACACGCTCAAAAACTAAGAACACTGTTATAAAATCTTTATGTAAAAAATTCTAAATTCTAAATACTGCACTTGACAGCGTAAACATTAGACCACAACTGCTTTTAAAAGGATAGATGTTCATTTCTAATTTTTAACATATTGGTTTTAAAGAAAGTAGTCACAAAATTAATTGGATGCTGTTGCCTACTAAACAACTACAAAACAATTTACGGTCCAATCTGTATGAAAAAAAAACAATTCCAAAAAGCTTAGAATTTACATGTCACCACATAATTTATATTTTTTTATTATTTTACATTATTTCACTTTTTTATTTATTTTTCTTAATTGTTATATTAAGCACTAAACTATTCCCAAACTGCATTATACGACTACACTGTTTATTTTCATTCTGAAGCTGCACATAAAGATATTTTTGCATATCAGTACCCTTTCGTGTTTGTTTTTAGTTAAAAATTTATATATTTATGAATTATTTCTTAGAGCTACTATATATTAAATCTTGGACTGCTTTTCTTGGATGTTTGGAAGTTTTATACATACGAGCTTAATTCAATTTCTTTTCTATCCAATAATGTGAACTCCTCTACAATGTAAATGGGGTCTTTTATAATTAATTCACATTAGCAAGGGCGCACTGTAACTTAGGGCAGTGAAGAGTTTTTAATTACGACTACTGCAATTATAACGAATACATCGAAAAATCAGTAGATTATTTTGTTAAAATTAAGAAATTAATATGAGAACACTAACCTGTGTTACTAGACCTTTTTATTTGTTGTGTTAATCAAAAATGTACAGATGATTTAGATTTAACAGCTTGGTCACTTAGTTACAAGCAAAATCACTAAACTTATATTGAACTGACGATAATGGCAATTAACATATAAAAATACACTATTTATTTACTTACTCGTGCAGTATGGTATCGTATTTGTAATCCAGTACTACCTGTAGCCTCATTCAACTGAATTGCACCGGTAGAGCTAACATCATCTTCAGGAAACTCTGTGTGTACATATCGTGTCATCTGTATTCATTTCAAAACATATACAAACACAATTAAGAATATAAACTAATGTCTCCAAATAAGTTTTTACACCAAAAAAAAACAAAAAAAAACTAAGCAATGCATATCATACTATATTTGATATGTATTAACAAAATACGCTGCAAAACGCACATTTCAACTATATAAATTATATGAGTACATATCTTGCAAGTTACAGCAAACAATTTTATTTAACAAATAAATTGGACCGCACTGTAGCAATACTTATGTGATTATTTTTCTTTCGTATCTTTGATGTCGAATATTAATTAGTTCAATGATAAAAGAACTACTCACTTTTGCTGACATTGTTATTATATACGACCAGTTTGAAATACTACTGTTGCATCATTGTTTATATGCATAAATTTTTTGTTTCTACAGATAAATACAGCAATCTATATTTTAATATTTAATTAATCATCTACGATAAAAATACATCCCGTGAATAAAACACGGTTGACTAACAACCAAAGAGAACATTCTTCATTGTGGAGCACATCTATCATTGCGCAGGTACCTTCTATACCAGAGTTGCCACAACTATTGTTAATAAATCATAAATAGCACAATTGTAACTTACCATGTCAACATATGTGACATACATTGTTATGTCTTTAAAATATATCTGACAGCATTTACTTTATAAATCTGAAGCCGATTGTTATTCTTCCCACTTCTGTAATATATACATTTTTATATATATAAGATATAATATACATTTCGTGTATAAATAAACAAATATATTAATATTTTAAAAACTACTTATAAATATTTATTAAATAAATATTTAATTTTTGCTAAATCTAAAACATACAGAATACATATGTATATGTAATTATAAGTTAGTATACAAAATAAATAGAAGCCGTTAACACCCTTTAATGTTAAAGCTGAATAGTTTAAATTGAATAATATATGGTCAATGCAACAGTTTTAAAAGACTTGAAGAGAGTGGTAAGAGGTATTGCAAAAATTTTTCTCTTAAAAATAATATGGTATACAAGAACAGAAGTCGAATTCAATATATAATTTTAAAATATGAATATTTATTTAGCGAAAATATTCTAAATTTGAATATTGTAAAATTTAAATTTTACAGATATTTATATGTATAGATATGTTTGTATATTATCCATATATCAAAATATATTATGAAAACTTTTACTTAAAGTGGTAATTGCCAAAATTCCATATAGTTAAAGCTCTCAACAAAGATTTTTAAAAAAGCTTTATAAGTTTTGTACTTCTTGTAATTTTAATGCTTACAACCGCGCACAACAATCAGAACAACGGTAACACTATATATTTGTTTGAATGTGGTTTGCCATACCAGTGATGCAGCTGCTATTGGTATTGCTGCTGTTTGCTGCTTGGTTACGATTCGCTAATAATTAAATCAGAATTTTGTAAATGTTTAAAGTTTATGGTGAAGATGATTATGTGTATGTATTGCATTCTATAAACGAGTATTTTAAAGAACAAATAATAATAATTTAACAAGTAAAAATACTTCATGATAATAGTGACTAAATATTCAGAAAATGTTTCTGAAGTTTTTAATAATATAGAAAGTAGAAAGGCAGAATAAGTAATTTTATTACTTCATACTGAAATTCTTATAGCAACAGTGATATATTGTCATTAAAAAACATGTAAATTTAAAATGGTAAGTTTCACGCCTTTTTAATTAAAACAATTATCAAGTTAGAATTTATTAAGTACAATAAATTGAATCTTTTTATTTTTACATTTTGGAATTAAAAATGTGATTGCACATCTTACCTGCAATACTACGTTACTAAGCCAGCTTATTATACGTTATATGTTATATTATTTCTTCAACAAATAGTTTAATTTAGTTTCCTTCTATATATGAAGTTTTAACTGGAATAATTTTATTTACCATATCAGACACAATATTATAATCATTATTATTACCAATCATCATTATAGTGGTTAATCATTCGCAAAAGGAAGGTCGAAAAAATCAGCATTGCAAGAAATAGTATAATCATCATCATGGTCTTTCTTTTGTACCACTCTTTTCCATAGCTTTGGCTTTTTTCTTGCATCTAAGTTTTCAGGGATTTTGGTTTATACATTCTCTTGCAAAGTGGTGTCGGAAAGCTTTCAAAAGCTTTTAATTTATAAGTTTTATATGGAAACTCTTACGAAGTGAAAGCATTCATAACAGTTTTCTTTAAAGGAAGAATATGTATGTATATTTCAGAAGCAAAAATCATATTTTTCGTCGTATAATTAATATTTTAACTATGTGCATTAAAATATTCCTTTTGAAGATAAATGAAGGGAAAAGAATTTTAGTCGTTCGCAATGTACCAACTCGTACGGAGTTGAGCTCAAAGTTGTAAAAATAATTCAATATAGAAGAAGTCATTAAAAGTACTATTTTGCTTGCAAAATACACTACTAAAAGTTATATTGGACGAAAAATTTTACATTATTTATATGATTTAACGTTTATTAAATTCATCATGTTATCGGCTTAGTAGTGACGATTTAGTATGAAATAGATACATGTGTCGATAATATTCAACAATTTGTTTGTTAAACTCCATTAAAATCAGTGACTAACTTGTGAGCGCTTTTTGTGCTGGATCATTCCAACTGTCAGGTTTTCACAAATTTGCAGCCCAGAAGAATAATCACCTCTTTCACCCCATGATGATGGATCGTATTTTAAAAAAATCGGAACAAATTTCCAACCAAAGCAAAAATTGCATGTGAAATTGCCCCAGGAATTCGAAACTGTTTGAAATTTGGATCATCTCTGCCAATAAAAAGGGGAAAAAGCTATAATAATTCTTTATGATCTAATCCATCTAATCCAAAACTTCGATGTCACTCATGCTTACCACGTTTTTCAAGGTTTCATCTTAAGCTCCACTTTTAAAGTTCTTAGTATCGTCATCTCTCCATTTCCGAGCAAAACGTTCAAAAATTTAAATTTCTGGAGCCGATGAGCTACCAGCATTCTATTCAAAAACAGCTTTTAAAAATATTTCTCTGATATGATGCTTGAGCAAAAACGCGGCACTATTGTGAATACTAGTATTAGAATTAATTGTATTAAAACAAATGAATCCAACTAAGATGTCTAATTTCCAAGTAATTAAAAATTGATGAATTGCATATACAATTTACTTACCAGTGCTATTATCTAGTTTCGGAATACCAAATATTTTTTCGGTATTTTCTCCTTTAACAACAAGAGCAAGTCGTTCAACCTTTCTTTTACCCTTCATTTCTGGTAGAAGTTTTCCATACCAATGAAATAAAAAAGTTAGAGGGATCTGCAATCGGATACACTAATGCAACTTAAAAACTGCAAACTTTAACTAATATACATCGAAATTCTTTAAAATATCATGCGTTTTTCTTCATCGGTTTTCTTTTCTCATCAGGTGAACAGTTGTACGTTTGAGAACAATATCTTTTAAACGGCCTAATGCAGCTACTGTTGCCCTTATGAATCGCATCTCTTGTAGAAATTTAATAGTTACCCAAGCAAGGAATCATTAATCATCATATCATCAATGAAATCTGTTTTTACTCCTAAATGACTATCTGGTTTTCTCATTGAAATGTTTTCTTCCATTGTTGCTTGTGGGGACGATAAATATTCTACAATATCTTCATCATTATACCTGTGCACAATACTGAGTCTAAAATCTCTCGCTACTACTCGAAAAATATATTTTCATGCATGATTGTTAAAAACAAATAAATACATATTAATCATTTATTCCTATATGTTATTTCCTTAAACAAATACTTTCCATATATTTCGGTTTACGTTTACCAACTTTCACCAATAGTTCTAGCTTGCGCATTTTCTCTTTCTGATAATTTTTTATTAATACCTGCCGTCTTTCCTGGTCGGCCTTTCTGTATTTGTTGAATCATGAAATCTTTATCGTTTAGGATTTTCATTGCTTCAAGAGCAATAGGTGCTGCGATATCATATATAAAGTTTTTTTATTTTTTCACAGAACTCTTTTTCTTTAAATCGGCATTTTTCGTACGTAAATTTACTACTTTTTTGTTATAATCGCCGTTCATCGTACAGTTTTTGTAATTTTTTTTTGGAATTAGATTCAGCTAGAAAAAGAATACGAACCTTTTTCCAAAATGGTTGTAAGGAACCAATCACACTTCTAAAATTTTCTTTCAATGTATTAAATTGAACACGAAATTTATAGAAAAGAAGTTGAAGTACTTGCTTCATTGAGATTTCACTTTTACATTTTCCAATTTAAAGCACATTGTCATCATCGAATCTAAGCCGCTTTGGAGATGATGTTGATTGCAAAAATGAAACAGAATCCATTTATCAAAGAATTATCAATTCAGTTAAATTTTCGCGACGCAGAATAAATATTTTATCGTTCAATCTCTTTCTCACTGTCAATTTGACAGTCAATAAACAGTTATAATAACAATGTTGCAACTCAGGCTTCGTTTTACGAAATTCATACCATAGTTGCAATTTTTACTTCCTGTCAAAAATTTTGTAGGAAACTTAAGCAAACGTAAGTGAATTCAATATCATATCGTAAAAACATATAAGTAATGTGAATTAGTCAAAATTTTTTCTTCAAGTAAGACTATTAGTAATGTATTATTCAAGCAAAATAGCACTTTTAATGATTATTTCCCTATTATGGGTTAACCATTATTAAGTATGTATATCATGTATATTTTAAATATTCCACAGTTGACACACAGAGTTATCATCAACATGTGACCTGTAATTATTCACACATGATTGTCTTTTGCTATGAGTACCCTGAAGATCCTCCTTTAAATAGTCCATGCGTATATTTTGTGAAGATTTAGTTTTATCCTTCCATTCGTTATATTTGAATGATTGTTGCATATATTATTTGTTCACCGCAGACAATGACGTGTAGTTCCAAAGAAAGATGTACAGTAATCCATTTTAATACAGCTTAATAGAAAAATGGGTTTAAAGCGATTAGGAGACCACTCTCTCAGTAATATCATTTTAACCATGTTAGAAATAAAAAAATTTTTGTAAATATAAAAACAAAAATTGCACTTTACCAATTCTTTAGCGATTCTCTTAAATTTTCATTACCTAAATAAAACTTTAGCTGTTGCCTTAGTAAAATTTAGTTCATCAGGATATTATAATATTTGATTTAATTTAAATATTTATTTCATTTACAATGTTTTCATACTAACATCAATAGTATTAAAGTTATTAATATAAGTATTAGGGCTATGTTATGCAGAGTGTCTCAGGCACGGCATGAGTACAATTGTTGTTGTTTTTAATGCAAATTTTAAATTTGAAAATGAGAGAAAAAACAATAGAGCCGTTCAAACTCCGGCATGAGAGCCGGCGTATTTGTGCCTCGACACTAAGGCAGCACAGCCTTTTTTTATAA